ATATATATCACCTTTTTAAATAAGATTGAGAGCTATCACTTATATTCAAATAACTATATTTATAAAAAAATCTTACCCATGCCATGGCTAATGAAGGAAGGATATTCATTTGTTTAAAACACTTAGCGAAAGGGATAGGATTAAATGATTCCAAAGTAAATTTGATTAACTATGGAGAACAATGCATGAATATTGTCATTACTAGAATAGCAAAAGCTCAAACACTTACAGTGTCACATAATATAGTTTTGCATGTAATACATATACAAACCCAATGAAAACCATTTTAAGAAGAAAATCGGTATCGGCACCCCTTGACTCATTATGTCGCCCCGAACAAATCGGAAGCGACATATTGCGATTGTTCGCATAAAAATTTTCTCTGTTCCCTTGAACAATCGCCATGAAACTTTCTTATGTTAATTATTAGAAATTGTAGTTGTGTGATTCGCATTTAAAAATTTAAAATTATCAATACCCGGTAGTTGCAATGGAAACAGGGGAAACAGGGGAAACGTTCCGGGCGATATACGCGATTAATTGCAATAGCAGACTCTCTAGTTACTAAATACAGTCTTAATGAAAAGTGGACAAAAACGGAAAATATGCTCTCTTGTATTTAAATTTTATTTTTTCACCAATGCCCTTCTTATATTTGTAATCGTGTTTTTTTTATAACAGAAGTATAAAATTGTATGTCGACTAGACATTTATATTTATCATTTCCGTCTCCATAAAACATCATTTGGCCAAGAGAGTCTATTGTTAAGAGGCAGAAGTTGTGTAGCTAAGGACGGTCTTGTTGGTTGAAACCCATGACGAGTTAAAAAGTCTATTATCTCCTGTCCGGCCGGGCCAGTTTTTAGCCACATCCACTCCATTAATACCGCTCTCACATCGACTTTATTAAAAAAGTTTTCACCTCCTCTGAATACTCTATTTTCGTAACCTTCAACATCCATTTTTATTATCACTGTATTCCGATTATAAACCGGAAATTTGAGTATGTCGTCAAAAGTCGCTGTCTGCACGTTCCCAACTACATGTACTCATTTCACCCATAACATTCAATTCTATGCATTTTATTTTACTTTGCGCCCCCCCCCCCCCCACATCCCACTTTTAGCTGAAAGAAGTGAGTTTCAAACGTAGTAAAATTACATTAACTGAGCCAATTAAATATTCTTCATGAAAACCAAGTTGTTCTTTCCCGATTTTTAAAATTATTATTTAAATCTCAATGCAAGGTAAAAAGTAAACATTATTTTTTATTCAAATGTTTAAAGTATTGGCAGTAAATACTGGTGGGCGATGTCGACCAGAAACTATATATACTGCATGCCAGTTTAAAAAAATATTCTAGAATTAATCATTTTTAAAAATCAAACTGTTAGTCCATGAGCCAGGCCATGAATTTTCGGTATCAGTACCATCTCGGGTGAATAATTTTCATAGTTAATTTTTGAAGGACATACATCTCTACCTTCAGAAAATGTATGATAGCATTAAATTGATTGTGGATTTAATGGTGTATAAACCGTTTATATACACCAACCCAATTTGTTCTTTCTCTCAGCTGTGTCTTTGAAAGAAGGTTGGTTTTTCAATACGCAATTTCTAACTTATTTCGGATGATATTTTCTTGAAAATTCTTTTGAATGCAGGCCATGCTATTACCCTGTACAGTTATTATTCAATATTAGCTCTGTAATGAGGCGTCTAAATTATATAGGAATGTAATTCTACCCTTGATCATAAAATTGGAATACGCAATTTCGAAATTTTGATCAAAGGAAACAAATTACTACTGTGACAATTTTCACACAAAAAACATATTACATGGTCATTTTATTTAAAGAATTTTTATCAGGTTTTAGCATTTTAAAACATTATTTTAGTAACAAATATATATTACTTGATTTAATAGTAAATCTATATCCATATCCTAAAAATGAAAATTGGAGGAAAATTACAATGATTTACCCTCTGCGTATATTCTTTATTAAATGAAGATCATGTTACATATATATAAAATGTTTTATTTATGTAATTTTATGCTAAACCATGGTGATAATGGACACATATATCCATCTAGATTAAACGTGTAATATAATTATTAAATATTTTTGACATCAAAATTAAGCAACATATGTGCACAATCATATATGTGCTTTGTGGGCAGTGTGCTGTGTCTCATGACCTGAAATGGCCTAACGCCCCTTCCCTCCACTAGTCCGGTTAGAGGGAATCCGTACCCTCTGGGGAGATCCCTCTAGGAGAGCACTCTCTACACAAAGCGCTGACGGGTCTCAAACCCTGTTGACTGAGGGCTTGCCTACCTATAACGCATGTAGAGACTGTGCACCGGCGGATCTGCGGAGGAAACCGTTGTGGTTCAACGGAGAAGAAGGCAGACACAGCAAGCACCGTGGAATGCTTGGAGCAAGGCAAGGCACATATAGCACGTCTTGGTCATCCGCTGCATCTGTCTAGATCTCCAGACGTCCTGACATCTGTCTTGCCACTGGATCTAGATGGTTACGGGCTAGAGAGTGAGATCGGCGACGCGCAACCCTTCTTCATTTTAATCAAATTAAACTCATCGCGCAAGTCATTGATCATCTTCCATCCCTTTTTTCATCCACCTAAAGCCCTGTGGCGACAGGCGAGCAACGAAGGTGACAGGCGCGGGTTCACTGGAAGTTGGTAGTCGCGGTCCTGCACACAGGCGGCACAGGCCATATAGTCGCTCTTCACCGACCAGAGCAGCGATAGAGTTAGGCAGCCACCTGTGCTACTGAGCAGCTCTCTTTAGGAACGCACTGCTCACCTCCATGGCAAGAGGAGTGATTATAAAAGGTATCCCAAACGTTGCCTGCTCCAATTTTCCCTAACCAGTTTACCACGGCTGATGGGGACCCTACACATGCGGTCGAAATAACAAAGCGAACAAGAAGAAACAAGGATCAGGACTACATCATTGTCAGGAAGAGAGACAGACAGACAGTTCGTTTGTTCACCGAGGTTATGTGCAGCATGGAGTGCTGGACAGTTCACCGTTTCACTGTCTCTAAACTTCACCTCTCAACTTTCGTATTAAACTCAGAATACGTCCTCAGGAAACTAAGGCTTCAAAACGTCTCAACGTTGATAAGCTCAAGTTGCCTTTCACCTCTCAGTACTTTGCTGACACCCTGGAGGAACGCCTGAACTCCACCGTGCACGTGCTGGATTACCACGACGTGGAAGCAGCATGGAACACACTTCGTAATACAGTGTACAATACAGCCTTCGAGTGTCTTGGGCCCTCCACCAAAAATAACACAAAGACTGGTTTGATGAGAACCGAGCCGAGATCACACAGCTTCTTGAGGACAAACATCATGCTTACAAGGCTCATATAGATGTCCCCACCTCCACAGCCAAGAAAGCCGCTCTAAGGAACGCTCGCAGCACAGTACAGCAAAAGCTTCAGGATATGCAGGACTCCTGGCTGAGTGCAAAAGCTGATGAGATCCAACGCGACGCCGAATCTCATGACAGGCCTAGGAAGAACTTTTTTTTGGACTTGGGGAAGTCTACGGGCCAACTTCATCAGGCCCATCCCCTCTTCTCAGTGATGACGGGTTAACAGTTTAACACTCATCACAGAGAAGGAAAAGATACTCGACAGGTGGGCGGAACATTTCATTGGCGTTCTGAGCCGCCCTTCTACCATCAACGAGGAAGCCATCAACCGTCTTCCCAGGTTCTCATCAACTAGTCACTGGATGCCGTTCCCACGTTGGATGAGATCCAGAAAGCAATTAGTCTGTTGTTAACTGGCAAAGCACCTGGTCGATAGCCCGATACTCCATCCCAGCTGAGATTTACAAAGAAGGGGGCGTGGCTCTAGTCGAAAAACTCCATCATCTGCTTGTGCGAGGATCAGCATGACCAGTCACCTCCGCACCCACCGTCCAGGTCATCCCCCTCCCCCACGAAGATGAAACAGTGGTCACCGTCGTCACCGACGGACGAATAACTAAACAAGTATATGTGCGTTTATAATTATCTTTTTCTTTATACAAATTTTTGAGGTACATGTAATTGTTGAATAAAAGTGATAAAAATATGCAATTTTTGTTAGAATCACGGCTAGTAACTCAGTTAATGTTTTTTTAATATATTCATCATATCAAGGAGTATTTCTGGTAGAACTTTCTATCACGGTTGGTAAATGTGTGACAAATACTTTGCAGGTTGCAAATATATTTACCTTAAAATACCTAATTTGAGCAAATAAAGGGCAATAACTGTGTCTCCAGCATTAAATTCACAACAGATTTCATGCTTTCATACCTTTTCTCACTAGTTAGGGGTATACCTTATCAAATATCACTATAAAGTTTATTCACCCAAAATGGTTCCGACCACCCCCAGTGGCTCATGGACTATGAAATTCAAGGGCTTTTGATTGCACTTCACGTATGACCAAGTCCTAATTCAAGGATTAAGAAGCAGAAACGAAATAGAATGTCAATAATACAATGAATTTCTAGTTTTCTTAAATTTTTACCATCATACATGTTACGGTATACATGTTGTACCGGTATATATGTGATGTGTTGTTTATTCTGAAAAAGTAGAGAAATCTTCAGAAATATTATCTATTAGACTTATGATTACATATAGGAATTAAGATTGTAATCAAAAAGACTATCGCTTTACATTTTATCATATCATCATGATAAGGATATTTATATCCAAAACTTAAAACTCTATAAAGAAAACATCATGATTTCTTATTTATTCAAAAATTGATTTATTCTCAACACATTTACTAGTATATCCTTATCCGTTGTCGCAGTTTTTAATTAGTATTTAGATGAGTTAAGGTCCAAATTCGCATATATATATATATATATATATATATATATATATATATATATATATATATATATATATATATATATATTTACATTAATTTAAGGTCCCATTCAGCACATTTTTTTTTCTATATGATTACAATTTATCAAATCGACCTCAAACACTTAAATTATTCATAGTTGCTTAATAAATAATAATAAATAGATATTTTACATAATATTTCCTCACAGATTATATTGAAGAAATCAAATCATTTATTTTGTATATTTGATGACCTTCACAATTCCACTCTTATACTCCCCCACCCACAGTCGTCCCAGTGTGTCCACACTCAGTGGTCCACAAAAATCCAGACTACGGAGAAACTGACCGTCCTGATCAATGATGTGGGTACAGGAATTCCCGTGATCCTGTATTATTATACGACCCGCGGAGTCTGTGACAATACTGCTGGGTTCAAACTGCTTCTTCATCGTTTGTTGTCCTTTATATCGGAATCTGAGTTTTCCTGCCTTGTCCACTACAACCACATCCCCAGCATTGCAGTCAGAGGCACAGATATCCCCGTTGTTGTTTTTCGTCACATAGAGCATATTATCTCCTCCTTTATATAGTGGTTTATCTTTGTCGTCCTTCTCGATCTCCTGCTTTATTTTTTGACATTCATAATGGACAATTTTATAATGCTCTTCATCATGTGTACACATACTGACCAGTACGTCACCTGATTGTGTACAACACAGTGCTAATGGTTCCCATCCCTTTGGTGCTGCAATCTGTGCTGTTGTCTGGTGGACGTCATTAATTACTTTATTTAATGTATCAGTGTACAGAAGATGCCCTCCACTTGAAATTGCAATGTCATCAGGAAAACTCGGACATTTAGAGCTTATAGTCTCCTGTACAGAACCCTGTATATTGATACAAGTGATGGTTTTATTCCTCCCTGTTACCCACACCTCCTCTGTATTTAGACATGCCATCCTCATCAACTCTGTTATTCCAGTGTGGAAGGATGCGATTTCTATGACTTTGTCTAGAAGCTCAGTGGATACATCTGATCTGAAGATCGATACTGTTTGGATTTTGGGTTCCTTAAGTTTTCCAAATTCTTTGAAGAATTCACCTTGATCTATGTCCCTGGAAACGAAAGCTGGTAGTTCCAGTTCAATTTGTAAGGAGATATTCAGGTACTTCTGAATATTGCATTCATATCCTGTGATGTCGTTAACGTCCATGGTCTGAGAAATCTTTTTGTTCTCCAGAGCAATTTTATTTAGTCTTGCAAGATTATTTTTTATTTCGTTTTGGTATTCTTTTAATTTCTTTATGCCATTTCCTCTCATTTCTGCAATATCTTTCTTGTTTTTCGCTACGATTTCTTCAACAAATCGCTGCCATTTTAGCCCATGTTTTGTGACTGATTGTTCTAATTCGTCACATCTAGCATTTAAGGCAATAATTTTTGATTCTAACTCTGTATCTGCATTTTCAAATTTTGGAAGGATATCTTCTTTAAGATAAGCTGTGTCTTTCTCCAGCAGCCTTTTCTTGTCATCAACAATGTCTTTAATTTCAATAATTTTATGACCATTATGGGCTCCGCTGAGACATTTAAGACAAATATCTACATCGCAATTCTGACACTTAACTGTACACTTTTCATTATTATGGGCTTTGCAGCTTGGAAATGAAAGGTGGTATTTTCTCTCTCGGTATTTGACAATTTCATGATTAGAGGACGATGATGTCATATAGTGTTTTCCGACGCATTCTTCACATAAGTTGGCCTGACAGGGATTACAGTGAAGAAGGGTGGGTCTCATGTCACAGAGGTTACACAGGATAACGTCTTGTGCTTTAGTGGTACTGGTGGCCATTTTGGCAGTGTTACAAATTTCTACCAATTCAATCTAAAAATAATTAAATACCTGATTAATTCTCAGTTTAGGTTGCAATATATGTAACTTTTGCTTTAAATTCCATTTATAGAAAAGGAGTACAAATTACCCACTACAATCTTATTCATTCAATGAAGAAGTTCACATGGATTATATGCATATTCATGATATATAAACCATATGTCTGAAGGAGGCTGAGTGAATGTGTAAATGTGTGTGAGGGTGAGGAATGATATGTGTGTGTTCCTTGAGGGAGAAGCTATAACAAAAAGAAGAATTGTTGCCCTAAAGATTCCTTTTTGTGTACATATGATTTTAAAACAGATCTCCCTGACATTCTTCGTGCCAAAACTGAAACCTCACATGGAATATCCCGTTTATGCGATCAATTAATGCGCAAAATAGTATAGGGTGGGGCTGAAATGAAGTCCAGAGTATTTTTAATTAATAATCTATTTCAAAAGTTTGTTTATTTAAAAAAAAATTATCAATGCTTAAAATGTTTTTTTTTTTTTACTTAATATGCTTTTAAAAATTTCATCCTTTACTTAAGCAAGATTGTAAAAAAGAAGGAATTATTCGAAATTAAGTTGTTGTAAGAAATGCAAATGTGTAATATCAGTAATTCAAATAAGTGATATCGCCATTTCTTAATGAAAAGGGGATAAAATTAATTCAAATAGGTGATATCATCTTTTATCTGATATCACCTACATGATTTTGTTTTTACTGGATATTCAATTGATTGCTGTTTTGCCTGATATTATTTAGAAAATTATGATTTATGTTATTGATTCGAGTTTCTGAAAATATATTGTGTTTAAAGTCGTGAAAAACACTTTGATTCGGTCATTGATATATCGACTTCACAGAAAGCATAAAGACTTTACACTTCTCTCTCATTCTATATTTTTTTCTGTGAAATCGACATATCTATGGATCGTCCACATAAATACTATATTTGTATAATATTTCAAATTAGTTAACATGCCAGTTCGAAAAGATGAAATTGTTTATTCGAATAGGTTTGAATAAGTCATACCAACTTTTTATATCCCCGCCTGAAAATCTTGGAGGTTATATCCATGTAATGATCGGGATGTCCGTCCGTCTGATACGCTTTGGGATACCCATCTATTATCCGCAACTCCTCTCATACCACTGAATATAACTTGTTGAGACTTTCGCAGAATTATTATTACATATTGCCATTGTTACCTCTTTTTTTACTTCTTGATCCAAAATATGTTTTGGGTTTTCCATAGCAAAACATGGACACTGACATTATATTCAAATGGGAGGCGGGGGCACTATTTAGTGATCTCGTTGGTCACAATGCCTCTAGTTACATGTTATTTGAATATGTAATATTACCTGTTTAAATATGTGATATCGCTATATGGCAATAAATACCAAAACAGCTCTTCATAACATTTCATTAAGAGGGTGGGGGATGATCACTTTTAGACTATATCTATCTCCTTTAGACGAACAACATCATATGAAAATATTCAAAAAAGATCAAATTTTGAAATTAAATTAAATGAATTTTTACCAAATGATAGTTGAAAGCTTAAGATACCATATTTAAAAAATGAAGAATCTGATGGATAATTTGTTGAGTCCTAGGCACCTTAATGTTAATGGGTTTTTTTTGTGAAATGCCTGCCATTTATGTAGGGTGATGTTTAATTTTGGAAAAATAAACTTAATTCTAGTATAAAATTGAATACTATATATATAACTTTGTGTTTTATATACTTTCATTTGAAGAAGTCAGATTAACTTTGGCAAAAATGACTATTACCCTACAGCGTGTAACAGCTACATCCACCGGCTCCAGCTAAAAGCTAGGCCCCCTAATCCAGATACTGGTATTGATCATATTACAGCGCAACATGTACACTAAAAGTATGCATGATAACGGGTAAATTTTTAACTGCGAAGAATGTTTGCATGTACGGTTCATGTGTCATGTGTGTCTTTTTTTTGTCAATTCATTGTCAGTGATAATTTCAGTAATTTCAGTATAATAAAATATTCGATTTTTATAGGGTAACATCGGGGACGTTGTGCTCCGCATCGTTTTTTTAAAGGAGACGGCCACAGAAAAATATCAATTTACTTGTTAAAAAAACTCGACCAGCAAAAAAAAAATAATTCCTGTTCAAACACAAAGATCCCATTTCGTTATGATAGAGGAATGCAGGGTAAGATGAGGTTCCAACACCTTTCAGTACCAAATTTTATTGCCCTTATGTCCAACCGGTATTTCAATAAATAATCAATAGTAGAAAGCTAGTTTTAGAAGAAAAAAAGGTGTTGTCCCCAATCCATTGGCCTACTTGTCGCTACGCGCCTGAACATTTTTAAATATTGGCTACTCCTCGGTTAATATACTTGTAATAAATCAAACAGATTTTAACCCATCTGTTTCAAAATCAGCTGCAAAGTTAGATTGTCATAAAATACACTTTTGGATTAAAAACATTTGAAAGGGTTACATCACTAGAATTTCGCAGAATTTGCTACGCCTCGGAAAATCATGGTTTCAAGAAATAACATTTTCACATGTTACCCTAAAAATCGTACATTTTTATAAAATAATTTATATAAACCAAATACTATCTTTACCTTTTGTCCATTTCAGCCTGAATTTCTTTTGCCACGTGCACAATTAACTTTCGGTTTGCAAAGCTATATTTTCTATATGTAGTTAGAGTTGTTTCGCTTCCTACATGCATGTAACAAGGTAACATTTCTTTGTAACAAATCTGGTTTGTCTTTAATTTATCCTAAGTCTGTATGAAAAAAAATATTTCTCTGTTAAAGGGGAGAAAGATGTTATTTTTTTTGGTACAACTGTAAAAAAAAAATCAAAGATTTTTTATGAAATTGTAAATCAAAATCCATCTATAACAGCTGGTTGCAAGAAGTGGATTGAATTATTTGAACTGGATAGCAAGGAATACAAAATAATTCATTAATTACCATTCCAAGTTACAAAAAAACTCCAATGGTTTCAGTACAGAATTCTAGATAAAATATTGGCAACTAATTATTTTCTTATTCAAAATCAGAAAGATAGGCTAGCTTCTAAGCACTGTAATTTTTGTCAAAGAAAAGAAGAGACACTTGAACATATATACTATGGGAATGTGATCTTGTACAATCACTCCTTGAATGCTTTGAATATTATCTCCAGCAGATAAACATTCAGTTGCCCATAACAAAAATCATTTATTTTAGGTATTGGAGGAATAAATATGGAAATAGCCAATGTCTTAATTTTATGGTTAAAATATTATATTTATACATTCTTCTATAAGTTATAAAACCTCTAAATGTGCAGTCTGTGATATTACATTTGAGTCATTTTTACCAAACACAAAAAATCCTTGAGTCTTAGGAAAACACATACATGTATGTGAAGTACATGTATGCATATACGTGTATTACGTTTCTATTGCTACCATTTGCTTTGATAGATTTACCATAGACCTTAAGATTCTTTAAACCAACTTACTGAAGATTTGGAGTATAAAAGAAATTAACTACATGTTGTACAATTTAATATATTCGATCAGTGCATACTATCTTTTCAAAGCTATCTCATAACATGTACTAAAGAAAGGTACTCTTCACACAGTTGTTCTAAAGATATATTTATTCCATATGATCAGCAGATACAACATTATAACAGTTGTTTAGAGATTCGATGTGTATATGATACGTCACAGAAAAGAAAATCAACCTAAAATTTTTTGGGAAAAGAATAACTTTCCCCCAGAAAATAATATAAGAATTAATCATATTCAAACGCTGGCTACCTCCACAGTGCTTATAGACAACAATATACAGGCCGTTCTTCGAATGACATTTTTTTCACTGATTATACTATTATCATAATTATTGTTCTTTTATATCCATACACTTTCTTCTGATAGAGAATTAAAATCATGAAGTATGAGTATTTTGAGTGTATCGCAAAAAAGTAAGGGAGTGAGGAGGGGGCAACCATCCCATCAATTAACAATTATTTCAGAAGTAAAATAGAATGTTTAGATAAAAAAAGGTCACTAGTAAAATGAACGATATAAAGGACTGGTTTTTACTGACTGGAAATAAGCTTTACGCAAATTGTTTCTATCGAAGCAACGTCTTGTTTTCAAGTGTACGTTGTAAGAAAATTATTTAATTATTCATTTACTCTGAGCTAGTAAAGGTAGTAACAAAATAATTCTAAAATGGATATATAGGAGAGAGAAAAAGCGATAAGAAACAGTCATGATACAAGATGAAACACAATTATTTATGCACGTGTTAATGAGTATAAACTTGACGGTTTTCTGTTCGAGGTACCAGATGAATTCCATCGGAAGGACATATAGGTATGGACGATTCTCCTCTGTAGTACAAACTAATTAAAGTCCTACACGCTATAGGAACCCCGAATTTTGTGTGAAACAAAATGATTAATGATTTGAAACACATGAAGTGTAATGAAAAATAATACTTTCCAAAAATTTTTACTATAGACGTCGTTGTAATAACAAAACAATTAAGCAATATCTGGCAATTAAGAATTCAGTCTTTTCATGAATATTGAGAAAGGAAGTGCGTAAACAGTAGGCCTATATAAAGACACGCATGTCCTCGGGAAATCAGACAACGAGGTTTATTATACTTTCATGTTAAATACTAAAATCTGATTGGTTTAGACGCAGGTAACAATCCGTTCGATTACCCTGAGCCTTAGCAACACACGTGACAACGGGTAACACAACGGTAATGCCACATGCGTGGAAATTATGCGCGTACGGTTCACCGTAGAATTCTCAAAACGTCAGTTGCGCGTTTGAAAGAACCGGAATTAACTTGACGTCAATAAAAGCTTGCGTCCGATGTAGCTTACTTGAAAACAACAGAGACGTATAATAGAAACAACAAACGACAGACGATACATGCTTGCGAGTGTAGGAAACATGCTTGCGAGCCAGAAATAACGAAACTTTATATGATAAATGACTCGAATTCGAGTATAAAACAAACAATAAGGAGATTAGTGAACCGGTGAGTGTGAAAGCTTTCTATACATGAACGTAAAGACGATCGACGTTTTTTTTTTTTGCTGACGTCCTAAATCAATAAGACATTCAGTATAATAAAATAAATGGTGCCTGTTTTGTAGGGTAACATTTGAAATTGACACCCCTCGGAAAACCATTGTCAACCTCCGCTGACGCGTCGGTTGACAATGGTTTTCCTTGGGGTGTCAATTTCAAATGTTACCCTACAAAACAGGCACCATTTATATAATGTTGCATTTTGACAACAATTATTAATAAAAGGTTAATATGTGTCATAACAGAGTAGATGGTTGATACTCATTACATTAAAAGATAAGTATCATTAAGAGTAAGACGCTTGCCATCCACGTCAAAAGAGAGTAGTATCTTTAACGACCTACCTTCTGTTTTCTATATGCCATGTTTGTTTATCAATCTAAAAGTAGCGGCGGCGTCACGTGATGGATTTATTTTAAAATAGCAATTTCTCTCCTAGCAGGGTTATAAATAATTATAATTTGATAACTTTATAACGCGTTACGCTGATTTTAATGATGTAATTTACAGTATTTTCGTAACTTTTATTGATAAACAAAATACAACATGTATATAAATCTCCAATCTTATTTAAACTGGCGCAAGTTATAGCGTGTATACTTTTAAGGTGACGATAGTTTTTGTTGAGAAATGTCCAACACTACATGTTTATAGGCATGTTTCAGAGGACAACTAAGAGTTTTCTGCAAAAAAATTTGACGAAATAATGATAACATTTAGTATTGTATGTAAATGTGTAATCTTACGTTATTTGACATCTGTAAATAACGTGTCAATGTGCAGATCCAGGATTTTTTTTTCCAAGGTGTGGATTCCAACCAAGTCAATCCCTGAAATTTCTTGACAAGCAAAAAAAAAAAAAAAACCTAAATTCCTTTCCTAAACGTTAAAAACCTATCTCGAGGGGAAGGGGGAGGAGTGTCCCAAAGTAATTTTTAGTTGATTTAGTATCTCTGCAAATTCCGGAGATATGTTTAGCCATTTGCAGACGATAATCAAATAATGAAGTGGTGGTCACAATAATTTACATGTGTAACCGATCAAATGACGTGTTACAACTGAAATTAAATTATTTAAATTCATCATCTGAAATGGACGTAGCAATGTGTCGCTTACTATATATCACACTGCTCGTATACTATACTTGTAAGCAAAGATACCCGGGAAAAATTCAAATGCATGATCAACTATAAGTATCTCACCCATGACCATGATGACGGTACTCTTGTAGACAGTGGAAAACATTCATATAAAGCTATCTTTTCATATAAAATTTGTATAAATGTATTAACTTGAGAGATTTCATTTCATTTCCCTGCCCTAAAAGATTGATTGATTGTATGCTGTTTAACGTCCCTCTCGAGAATTTTTCACTAATATGGAGACGCCACCACTTGCCGATGGAGGGCTACAAATTTTGTCCTATGCTCGGCACTCAGGGCCTTTGAGCAGTGATGGAGGATCTTTTTCGTGCCAGCACCTACTGCGACACGGGGCCTCGGTTTATACGGTCTCATCCGAAGGATCGGTCTCCACGTCCCACAGTGGGATTCGAACCCGCGACGTAAGGATTGACTCCTTACTTCGCGACTCTAGAGCAGACGCTCTATCCACTGCGCCACGCGGGCGACCCTGCCCTAAAAGAAAGTGAGCCCCGGAATTAACAAAGAACGAGGGCGCTTTTGATTGGCATTCGGCAGGAATCTGGGCGTAATTGAAAAGAGAAAATTTGATCGACATGTCACATGAAATTTTATATTTTTTTTATTTATCGGGTTCCTGTGCAATAGGAAAGGAAAATATTTTCCCGAAATTGAGCTTTGATTTACTAAAAAATAACTTGAAAACTGGCCAGATCAGACATTTGGTAAAAAAATGGTACATTTTTATACACGTTTTTCTAAAATATTTCTATCTCTGGGTCCTCTCTCCATGATTTTGAAACGTTATTTGAGTGTATTTTAATTCAAAGAAACGAATACATATTTTTAAAAAATGGAGAGAAGACCCAAAGACCACGAAAAATGAACTTCCCCCCCCCCCCCCCCCCCAAAAAAAAATACAAATGTGTGGTCTTTCAAACTAAATGAAAAAAAATATGGATGTGTATGTAAAATCTGACCCGCTACGTTCAGCCAACCAAATCATGGACATTTAAACCATAAAGGTTTCGTACAAATGATTCCTACAGATCACACGCCAAATGCGCCCATCTTCTTCTACTATTCTTTTATCAAGAAATACTTTGTGTCCAAATTAGTTGAACGTTGTTATAATCTATATATTCTAAAACAAGCTTCAAGCATGTAGAAAACATGTACGAACGATGCGCGGCAACAGACGTTTTACTTAATTTTTGACCTGGGACAGAGTAATTAAGGTACTAGTATATCCTTAAATACTGTGAAATCATTAATTTTTATTGGGTGTAATTTTCGTTGTTTACGAGGTATGGAGAGACCAAAAAATTCATTACCAACACGAAATCTAAATTTCATATATGCATTACTACTACATGTACATTTGTAAACATTTTCCAACAATGAAATCAAATCCTTAGAAACCAATATTTTGTCCTCCAGCCTTGAAATTTTACCCCACCAAAATGTGTGTTTTTACAGTTATGTAATATAAACATTACATGTAACTACATGTACTATTGAAATCCCTTGTAACCCGCTCTTTAGAATTTTGAAATTAAACTTGTAAACCATGTACATGTATAAACAACAGTACATGTATTTCATGGGTATTGTCTATGCCAGATAGTGTTTCATGGTTTTTGCTTTTAGCATTTTGTATCTACTGTACGTACATATGTACGTCCCGCCTACCTCAAACGAAGCATAAAGATTAGCATTGTGTGCCACTCTCTGTACAAAACACTCCTCCTGGCTTGCAGGAACCTCGATTTTGAATTCGTGCTGAGCCCCGGGGAGGCTATCAAAGCTAAAATCCTCAGTTTTCTCCTCAGTAACTCGTTCTGGTATCACTTGAAGAAATAGATTCCAAAGACACGCCGTACCTAGCACGACATATGTTGAGAACATATTGTTTATCATCTGGACGGAAAATTTGTCACAGACTAGCGAGATAATCGATACATTATATATATCAAGTACAGTGACAACTCAGTTTAGGCTAGATTGTTACGACGATAAACGACCCTTCATTAAAAATTGATGTATGAATAATCGAAATATAGAAAACACCTTGCAGTCATAAGCATTTTAATATCTTATTGTAAATACATGCATGGCTAAAATTCTGTTAAAGTACTCGCGACCAGCTTCATTTTTTAGCTATTACCCTCCAGTGGAATTTATGAAATCAATTTACATTATTTCAGTATTTGGCTCATAACCTTTTTATCTTTTGCTGCTAAACACGTACAATTCCCGTTTGAGAAGCGGTAGCGGATTCGGAACATCTAATTTTGATAAGATTGCATTTCGATCACATGATATGTTTAATTTACGATTGAATTTATTTGAATGGGATATACATTTGCATCGTGTAAATTAGGCAAGGTTTCAGAATGCAAGGTTTTTAGGATTAGACAAGATAGCTTTAACTTTCGTTTTCGTTTCTTTGAAATTGAAAATTAAAGACTAGTGAGGTCAAGGTCACAGAAAAGTGCAAGGTCAAAAGTTTTTGAAACAGTTGAATATCTCTCACTAATACGTATCAGCATATTCAGTTGATAAAAATATTTTGAATGGTTTACTGACCCATCTTCGCTGGCCAAGGATTTCTGATACGCTACTCTCCTCAAAATCCCTTGGCATACGGTGTTCATAGGTTATTTTCTCGAGTTCTGATTGGGATTCGGTACATCGGTCGACCAATCAACAATTTTTTTTGTAAATGACGATGTTTGTGTTCGGGATATTTCATATTCTTGACTCTTTAATCTCTGGAATGAAAATGCAAGTATACAACGATCCGTAAGCTAACATGCAATTTTATGAATAGTTATGGTGTCATCCAATATCTTCTTTATATGTGATTAAAGATCTATATTGAAGTTAAGATTTGTGCTATAAACAATAAATAGGCATAACTCAATTATTGCCTCTTAATTATTCTTGAAAAAAAAACTTTGATTTTAGGTTTTTTTTTAACACGCGTCTTTATTTCTTTCAATGACGCTTCGCGGTTTATAAAGCGTAAACTGCCCCAAGTTATGTTATATCGTACATGTATAACATAAGTTGAAATAAGCTTCATTCCTTAACTAAGGGTCATCCTTCATCTATGGATACTAGAAGTCCCTGGAACGCTTTAATCTATTTTCATCATCCGGTAAATAAATATGAATTAATTTATTTCATCTAATGAAAAGCATAATCCATGATTCCTGCATTCTTTTTACAGGTTCTTCGAGGCGGTGATCGTATGGTAGACTTTTATGTGAAGGATGGTTATAATAATATGATCAAAGAAATTATTTACAAATCAGAGGGGAGTATAGAATACACGGCTCCTGTCACTGGTATGGCTAATATGATAGAGATTCAATATAGGCTTTAAAATCTGTATTGAGGTTTTATTGAGTCGATCTGTAGATATTAAACATCACACGGAAACATGTACTTGCAACATTAATTTTGGAAGTCATCTAAGAATTTAAAAAAAATGAAATCTCAGATTTGGTAACGAACAAAATCATCATTCATATATTTGGACACTGCAATGCATACTGTTGTTTTTTTTAATGGATTTTCCTTCTTGTACAATTAATATATATTTACTTCTCATAGCAATATGCATATTTGTTTCAATTAAGTCCTTGTTTTTCCTTTTATTCCAGGCAATTATCAGATATGTGTTCAAAATATTCATAGCAGATTTTTATCGAAGCTTGTATACATTTATATTGTGACGGTGGTTGAAGAAGAATGGACCAAGTATGTAGCCGAAATAGAGGGATTGCAAACAACAGTTCAAAATTTCATGGTGAGACATCTAAACGTGATTGTGCAGTATTACTTTTCTTTTGCTGCAAGTCGTTTAGGCGTGCTATGTATTTATTTCTGCATTAGTTGTAACTGTTCATTCCCGTACTAACAATAAAAGGCAATTTTATTTATATGTTTATTTAAAAAATATATAAAATTGGAAAATGTAAAGATTTAAGTCGATTAAATATTGTACTATTGGCTGAAAAGCAAATTACATAAGAAATTTATACAAGTGACTTGTAAAACGTTCTAATAGGCGTTTGTCGATTGATTAAAAAGTATTGATTTATTAGAATCTGAAGTGGGTGTAAATATTAAGAATAAAGATTAGATTGTATGAAATTGCGATGGAATTGCACTAACTTGTTTGTCTGAAAGAAATGAAAATTGACAAGAACAGGGAGTACATTGTAGAACTTCATTATATGAAAACTTACAAACTCCTTATACAATTAATTTTTACACTATTCTAAATGCCTCTGTATTTATAAATTCATTGCTTCTTTGCAGACTTCAATCTCAGAGTTTCAAAAGTCCATAGACCAAGTACGATTGCACCAAGCCACTAGCAGAATGAACGTTATAAAGGACTGGTATTTACTGACCGGAAATAATGCTTATGTCATGTATTGGTCCGTTTTCCAGATTGTTTCTATTTTAGCAACGTCTTGTTTTCAAGTGTACTTTGTAAGGAAATTATTTAATATCCCAAATGTGACTCCTTCATCCAAACCAAGAGCTTAGAAAGATGACAGCAAACCTAATATATAAAACAGAAGACTTTTTATTTTATTTCATACACATGTATTATCATTACCTTTATCATTGTTATATCATCGATGTATCAGGTCGAGGAAACTATTTTCTGTGACGTCGGAATAAATTTACATGTTAAAGTGAAGAACCAACGTGACTGACTAATCGACCAATCAGCTCAATGAGTTGCATTATAGGTTACTACAAAAATATTACGTGTGTGTTTCGAAAAGTCTTCTTTTTTTTTTAAATCGCTCTCGGAAAGACGTGATGCATTTTTTCAAGCATTTTACACGCTTAATATAATATGTACATTATTATCTACTAATCCCATGCTCACATTTACATACAAATGATTAGCAATGATAAAAATTAGGGTATTCCCCACTCCATTGTACAAGTCCGTTTGTTTACAGCTTTCCCCATGCTGTACTGTCAGTGAAAAGTCAATTTCACGTGGCTATTAATCGGTAAATAAAAACCAACTCTGAGGTGTGCTCACGTATTGACAATGTTTACAACGTATACAACTTCGAAACATACATTATGCTACTCAATACACGTTCGATGATCAATGAACATGAGAATTAATATAGAGGTAAATTTAAAAAAAAAAAACGTGCAACTCAAGTCCTTTTTGTAAATGCATGAAATTTAAATTTTTATAGTAACAATTAACTGAGCAACAAATAATCAGCCAGTTACATGGCAAACTTACGATTATCAAGTACTAGAGTCCTTTATTTTTTACTTGTGGAGACTTTGTGAGCGGTTTTTCAAAGTACTATTTAACAAGGAAAACTGACTTTGTTTGTTAATGTGAGCATGGGAATTCTTGATTAGTTCCTATTCTTCATATTTTTCTCAAAAAATTGTAAATTGACTTGCCAGCAGTCATTTGAAATCGCATCCTAAATTTCCCTTAACCCACGTGTTTGTAATAAAAATAAACATGTAGTAGACCATCATGCTTTTCGGCTCATTCACTGGATTGGACCATTGTTTGCTGTGAGCACCTCTGTGCGCAATGACAACAATATCCATATAAGGTAGTTTCCTCGACCTGTGTATACATAGTCTTATCTTATTACAGAAGTGATGTAACAGTGTGGAATAAATAAAATTCAAACAACTATTTATTTAATAACTTTTATTGCCTACCGACACAGAAGTGTAAGAGCAAAAAAAAATGTGATACCTTTTAAAGTAAAAGAGGAGATATGTATCAAAAGTGACCAAAAGAAATATACCTCTCAAATAAATGTATTTATAATATATTCATTTTGCATATCGAGGACTCCTCATTTTTCTTTTTAACACAAACATTGAACTAAGATTCTAAGGTATTTTTCTGCAGTTAAAGCTAGTGATCTGCCCTTAGATCTAAATTCTAAAAAATAATACTCAGTTTGTAATAAATTCAAGTATTCTTAATATTTTAAAGGCCAAGAAAAATTAACTGAAAGTGTTATTTACATTTATCTCAGATAAGTGCATATAAAAACATCTAGGATGTATTTAATAAATTTTATTGTGGCGAAAATTGGGCACGGCTGTTTATCCAGAGACACAAATTATGAAAAGCTATTGGTGTCTCTGGCAACACAACAAAGCAAATATTACATATTAAATATTCAAACTCAGGTTCAAAGTTCAAAGGTCAAAGTTCACAAACACCATATCAGAAAGTGGTAAAAGCCTTGACCCTGGGAGGTGCAGAGGTCAAGCACTTATTTATGTATATCTAAATCCAAAGTTTACTTTTCAACTTTCATGAGTTACATGACTGCATATAAGGATATTTACTTAGTGCCGCTCGTTTACGCACATCTCAGCTGGAAAGAAACGGACAGCCGTACCGGATACTATAAATTCACATTATTGTTTAATGTTTGCGGTTAGAGGAAAATTATTGGCTCCTGGAAATGATGCATGACTTGCTCTTGGGATGAATCACTTCCATATAAATGGCTGTTCCTCACATCACTTTCGCATTAAATATCTTGAAAGTCCAGAATGCTGTGAGTCCATCGAGATACTTGTGGTTCAATCCCCTTGGCAATGGCTGTTCCCTAAGGTCCTAGTTTCATCCCGTAAGTCCTGTCATGTTGAGCTTGATAATCACTGTAAGTCTTCGTCTGAAAGCATTAAAAAACCAGAAAAGCAATATCTATTCTAAATGGGTGAGGTGGGTGGGTGTTTCAAATTAATAATACACAATAACAAGCTGGAAAATTTTTACCGACCCAAGATGATGCTGGAATATTGAAAAAGGAAGTTGCAACCAAAGCGCCTTCAGGTGTTTTTATTAAAAGGGGGAATGATCAACTAAAATATTTTACAAGAACGATAATCACTAGGAATAAGTACTGAGATTTAGGTAAAGCATTTAAATATGCACTTCCTTCGATAAAAGCAGCTAATTCAGAGTGAATTAGCTTTGAATATTATCTCAGATAAGTGCATATAAAAACATCTAGGATGTATTTAATAAATTTTATTGTGGCGAAAATTGGGCACGGCTGTTTATCCAGAGACACAAATTATGAAAAGCTATTGGTGTCTCTGGCAACACAACAAAGCAAATATTACATATTAAATATTCAAACTCAGGTTCAAAGTTCAAAGGTCAAAGTTCACAAACACCATATCAGAAAGTGGTAAAAGCCTTGACCCTGGGAGGTGCAGAGGTCAAGCACTTATTTATGTATATCTAAATCCAAAGTTTACTTTTCAACTTTCATGAGTTACATGACTGCATATAAGGATATTTACTTAGTGCCGCTCGTTTACGCCACAAGTTCCCAACCACAAGTTATTGTGGTAGGGAACTCCGCCACCATATGGGTGGGGGTAGAGCGGCAGAAGTAGCCATGTCCAAGCCAATACCTATCATGATTGATGAAATTGATTACCTGTAAAATTAAACCTAACCCGAATTATACATGGATTCGGTGTGATGACCCTAATAAAATAGTATAGATTTTGGCTATGAGTAGATCAAAGAAACATGTACGCATGTCTATCACTACACATGTAGAAACCAGGAATATATAAGCAAAATACATAATTCAGAAACAGATTAAATATTTAAAATCTATTTTATAACTGAATTAAAAGGAAACTGTACTAACCTTATTACTGTAAATTACCTATTTATTGGAATACAGCCGTACATGTATATCAAACTAACCTTATGAGAAAACCGGAGAAAACGAACGTTGTCAATCCAACTCGGATAAGTATACATGTGACCATACAAAGGTGAACATTTTATTGAACAAGTATCCCCTGAATTTCTTTGAGTAGGATCGTGTGCTTGAGAGAAAGCATTCCCTAATGCCTGTTGAAATTTGCCTCAAGCCCTATATATTTTGATTGGCGCAATGGGACATTGTATTGAAATTTAGAATAAAAACAAGGGCCTACCAATTGGTACGAAACGTTAAAATATGACCTACTTATGGGTTAAATCTACTAACACGGTCAGTAAAACGGCAATAAAATTTACAAAATCTAAACTTTAAAGAAGGTTTATCTGTGTTTAACAAACTAAGTTACAATTCTGGTTAAAGCTATACTGATTAGCAAACATGGCACAATACGGTTGATTTAGAAATAATATTTTAATATACCATATAATGGTAGCTAGCTTAGGACACCCTCACCACTAATATTCAGAGTTGGGAAATATGCCACACTTCCAGCAAGAAAGTAAATAATGTTCAAATTAGAATTTGTACGAGAAGTATGTCCAATCAATGACCAGTTGGAGCCATAAAAATTAATACTCAAGCATTTTTGTGATTCTAAGGTTTTGCCAAAAATTAATTCCAATACACAATTGTAGACTTAGTGAACACTAGTGATCTTTTATGCTTCGCTGATTAAATAATATATTCTTGTAGTATATGAAATTAAAAGTAAATATTTGCACAAAGCATAATAAATTGTTAAATTATTTGTTTTCTAAATAAATAAATGATAATCAGCTGCACATCATATTTCGATTGTATGATGTACATGTATGTGATAAGTTTCATTTTCATAAAAATTGAAAAATAATTAGAACATGTAAAAGACTACAATGAAATAGGTGCAGATCTAGTAATTTTGTAGTGTGTGTACATTTTGAATGTTTAGTGTATGTAAAGGATGGAATGTTTTGTGTTGTGTATGTTTAAATTAGTGTATGTAAATTAAGGGCTGTATGAATTCAAATACACCAAGGGCAATGGGCAGCCAGCAATGAGCATGCCCCAAGTCAAATAATCAAACATCAACAACACATATTCATGACATTCAAGATATTGTAGCTAGAGGTGATGATTAACATGATTAACAGTTGATGCATTGTGTATGTTTAGTGTACATGTATGTAAATTAAGGGCTGTATGAATTCAAATACAACAAGGGCGATGGGCAGCCAACAAGAGCATGCCCCAATCAAATATTCAAACAACATCAAACAACACATATTCACAATATTCAACATAATTCATAAGCTACACATCAACAATGTAGCTGGGAGGTCATGATCAGATTTTTTTTTTTTTTTTTTTTTTTTAGTAAAAATGCATTGTGTATGTTTATTGTATGTAAATTAAGGGCTGTATGAATTCAAATACAAGGGCAATAGGCAGCCAACAACGAGCATGCCCCAATCAAATGTACAAACAACACATATTCACAACATTCAACATAATTTATAAGCTACATACACAATAATGTAGCTGGAAGTTCATGATAATTTTTTTTCAGATTTTTTTAATGCATTGTGTATGTTTAATGTATGTTTATTAAGGGCTGTATTCAAATACAACAAGGGCAATGGGCAGCCAACAACGAGCATGCCCCAATCAAATATTCAAACAATATCAAACAACACATATTCACAATATTCAACATAATTCATAAGCTACACATCAACAGTGTAGCTGGGAGGTCATGATCAATTTTTTTTTTTTTATGCAGTGTGTATGTTTCCTGAGGCATGATGCAAGATGTAAGTGTAAAATGGTCTGTGTGAGTAGTTGTT